TTGCCTTTCTGTAGTATCCACTATCAACTTTGATAGTAGACACGCGCAACACTGGTACGTTTTGGGCTCTCTGGAGTGACTACTATGAACTTTGATAGTAGCTACGTGCAGCATCTTCAATTCTGCATGCTCTGGAGTGACTACTATGAACTTTCATAGTAGCCACGCGCAGGCTTAGTGGATTCTGGGCTGCTGTAGTCGTCACTTTTAGCTTTGAAAGTAATCACTTTGGTCCCTTTGCTGGAAGTAGCTTGTTGTAGTGGTTACTATTAATCTTGAAAGTAGTTAACTTTACCTCAAATTCTCAAAATCCAATAATTCTTCAAAATAAGCTTGGGGATTCCTGCCACATTATTCAAATGATCAAAACATGTAAAATAAACTATCTAAATTAATTTAAATTAACCAAAAATTAAGAAACCTATATTGTTTAGCCTAATTGGAATATTCATCTTATTTACACTATCTAAGTCTATTCTTTTCTATAAAAAGTAATAAATGATGTATAAAAATTTAGTAAAATGTGGATTCATCAATGGTCCTCCCATCTCTCAATGAAAGCACCAAATATTAGATCTCAGAATTGGGAAAGAGTTAAGAGAAAGAAGAATTCAGAGAAGGAATAGGGAAAGTTGGAGAGAAAAGGTAGGAGTGGTCATTCTCTTCACATTCCACAAAAAAGTCTAAATACATATATAGTTTGATAACAATAAAAATAACAAACATGCAGGAATTGAAAATAGCATATCTAATAATAGAAGAGGCTAACAAACAGACTCTAGTATCTTCCACCATTCCTTTTACGTCCCTCTTTAGTGACTGCATAGTCTTTTGTTATAGACCATAATTGGATTGAGGAGGAATTAAAGCCAAATATGTTTCAAGAGCCCAACCCAAGTGATTTGGAGGATACAATTGGAAAAGCCAAGCCAAAGCTGAGAAGAAATCCTCCTAGAAATTGTCAAGCCCTTCTGAAATTCAAGGAATACAAGATGAATTGATTCTGTTGGGATTTACTTGATTTTCCTAATTTTTCTCTGCTCAAGTAATCATGTTGTTGTTTTAGGATTTACTCTATTTTTTGTTTCATTCCTCTATGTATTTATATCATCTTCATCATCAATAAAAAATAGAGAATATTTTGTGAGAACCCTTGTGGTTGTGGAGGTTTTCTCCTTCCCTCGAAGTAAGGTGGATTTCACTTTTAAATTCCATAGAAGTCTTAACATTGGTGCTTTCATTGAGAGAAAACTATGTCGTCTTCTTTTGTTTCTTCCAATAATCCTTAGATTTTTAAGCTGATTGAGAACCATTTTACCTTGCAACGCAAGCACTTGCGTTTGGAGGACAAATTTGCACTCTTGGAAAGCAAGCTAGAAAATTTGCCCTCTCCTGGTTCCCCTTCTTCTACGCATAGATCCAAGCACTATATGAAACTGGAGATACCTTGTTTTGATGGCAACAAACCCTTGGGGTGGATCTTCAAGATCACTCAGTATTTTGAGTACCACGAAACACCAACAGCTGAAAGAACACGCATTACTAGCTTTTACATGGAGGGGGAAGCTCTTAGCTGGTATCAATGGATGGTGGCGAATGATCAGATCAAGGATTGGGATGCTCTGCTCAAGGCGATTCAATCTCGCTTTGCCTCGTCATGATTTGAGGATCCTGCTGGTGCGTTGATTAAACTCACCTAAACTTTTTTGATTCGTGAGTACCAGCAACAGTTTGAGGCTCTTGCTAATCGGGTCACTGATCTTCTTGCGAGTTTCTACCTTAGCTACTTCATCTCGAGGCTTCAACCTGAGTTGCAGCGTGAGGTACGCTCTCGTCAACCGACCACACTTATTGATGCTATTGATTTGGCCAAGATTTACGAGGACAAATTCGAAGACACTTAACCGAAAACCAAACCCCTAACACAGTCCAAGCCTTACAAATCCTACACCTCGGCCTCCATCCTTAACACACCACAGAAAACCACCTCAAACCAAAACACAAACCCTTCCTCCCAATCTCACTCAACCAGCTTTGCTACTTCCAACCACTCTTCGATCCTCAAGACCATGACTACCAAAGAACTCCAGGCCAGACGTGAAAAGGGCTTGTGCTATTACTGCGATCATAAGTATGTCTGGGGTCATCACTGCAAACGTCAGTATATGGTACTCCTAGCTCCAGAACCTCCATCAATGGCCAATGATGAGTTTCAAGAGTTATTATCTGACTTGAATCCACCCATACTCGAACCGAAAAACCAACCCGATTCCTCCCCAGCCCAGATTAGCCTCCACGCCCTCATGGGCCATTTGGTTCCCCAAACTCTGCGTGTATTGGGCCAGATTGGCAAAGCCCAAATGTCCATTTTGATAGATAGTGAGAGTACACATAATTTTTTGCAAGAATGATTGGTGAAGTTTTTAAATCTCAACACTACCCCAACCCAAAGTTTCTCTGTTCAAGTTGGTAATAGGGAGGAGTTACAATGCTCTAAGTGGTGTAAAGAGGTGCAAATCCACATTGGGCCTCACTTGTTCAATGAAGACCTCTTTGTCTTGCCCATAATCGATGCGGATTTGGTTTTGGGGGTGTAGTGGCTGAGAAGTCTAGGCCCAGTACTTACTGATTTTGATAAGTTAATTATGAGGTTCAAAAAAGAGGGCCTGGTAGTGCAACTCCAAGGAATTCCAAGACCCAAAGCCCATGAAATTTCACCTCAACAACTTAAACGGCTTCAAGCCACTGATTCAATCAGTGAATACTATCACATTCAGGCCCAACCTTCATCTTTTGAGGATGGCAAAATCGAATCTCCTCTCCTAGAAATTAAGGCCCTCGTTCATCGTTATTTCACTATTTTTGATGTACCAGAGAAGCTTCCTCCCCCACGACCCACCAATTACAAAATTCCTCTGTTGGAAGGAACTAATCCTGTCAATGTGCGACCGTATCACTACCCTCAGTTTCAGAAGTAGGAGATTGAGAAGCAGGTCGAAGAAATGTTACATTCTGGTGTCATCCAGAAGAGTTTGAGCCCTTTCTCTTTCCCAGCACTGCTTATGCGCAAAAAAGACGGGACATGGCGATTTTGTGTGGATTATCGCGCGTTTAATGCAGTCACGAGCAAGGACCGCTTCCCAATCCCTACAGTGGACGAACTTCTTAATGAATTGTTTGGTGCTAAGTGGTTTTCTAAGCTAGATCTTCGCTCCGGTTATCACCAGATCCGGATGTATCCAGGTGAGTCTTACAAGATTGCCTTTCGTACTCATGAAGGCCACTATGAATTTACTATAATGCCATTTGGTTTATGCAATGCTCTTTCGACTTTTCAGAGCACTATGAATGAGTTGTTTTACCCTTATCTTCGTAAGTTTCTTATTGTTTTCTTTGATGATATCTTAGTTTACAGCAAGATTTAACAGGAACATGTGGGCCATTTACGACTTGTTTTTCAATGTTTATTGGATAACCAATTCTTTCTGAAAAGATCCAAGTGCGTTTTTGCACAAACTAGTGTTGCCTGTCTAGGTCATATCATTACAGAACAGGGTGTTGAACCAGAGAATGACAAGATTGCGGCAATGCAAGAGTGGCCAGTTCCTCGCAGTGTGAAACAATTGCGTGGGTTCCTTGGTTTGACGAGGTACTACCGTCGTTTTATAAAAAGATATGTTGCCATTGCTTCACCTCTGACTGATTTGTTGAAGAAGGATGCCTTTCGTTGGACTATGGTGGAGTAACAAGCATTTGAGGACTTGAAGAAAGCCATGAATGAAGCCCCTGTTCTTGCCCTGCCTAACTTTGAAATTCCTTTTCAATTAGAAACTGATGCGTCTGGAAAGGGCATAGGTGTTGTACTTCTTCAGCAGGGCCACCCAATTTATTTTCACAGCAAGAGATTTTGTGATAGGATGCGTAATGCTTCTACTTACGTTCGTGAATTACACGTCATTATTGAAGCTGTTAAAAAATGGTGACATTATTTATTGGGGGCGCAAGTTTATCATCTTTACAAATCAAAAAAGCTTAAAAGAGCTTATGACACAGGTGATCCAAACTCTGGAGCAGCAACATTAATTGTGCAAACTATTGGGGTTTGATTATGAGATTAAATACAAACCTGGTTCCTCTAATTGTACTACTGATGCTTTGTCTCATTAATTTGATGAAGGTTCCTTTGCCGCCCTTACTGTCCTTCATTACGAGTTTATTCACAAGCTCAAGGCTTCTTATGATTATGATGACTAATTGAAGCAATTATACTCTGACGTTTTTGCTGATCCCACTTCTTATGAAGGGTTCTCCATTGTAGATGGCTTGCTCTTATATAAAGGGAAAATATATATTGGTGACGACACTACATTTAAGTCTCTATTGCTTGAAGAGTATCATAGCAGCCCTTTGGGAGGTCACTTTGGATTTCATAAAACATTTCAGCGGCTCCATGAGAATTTTCATTGGCCTGGAATTAAAAAGAAGGTCTCTGCTTATGTGAAATCTTGCATTACTTGTCAAGAGATGAAGGCTTCAAATCATGCACCTTATGGTCTTTTGCAACCCATTCCCATTCCTACTGCCGTATGGGAAGACATTGCTCTTGATTTTATTGTTGGGCTGCCACCTTACAAGGGTCATACTACTATTCTAGTGGTTGTTGATAGGTTCTCCAAAGCGGGGCATTTTGGTATGCTTCCTTCCAGCTATACCGCTTTCATGGTCGCTAACTTATTTGCCAATATAGTTTGTAAGTTGCATGGAATGCTGAAAAGCATTATCTCAGATAGAGATTCCATTTTCATGAGTGGTTTTTGGCAAGAATTGTTTCGTCTTAGTGGCACTAAGCTAAAGATGTCCATGACTTACCATCCTCAAAGTGATGGCCAAACTGAAATCCTCAATAAAGTCTTTCAACAATATCTACAGTCCTTTGCTCATTGCAAATCAACCTCGTGGGGCAAGTTTCTCTTATGGGTAGAATAGTGTTATAACACCTCTATGCATTCATCCATCGGGCTTTCTCCTTTTGAAGTTATGTATGGCAAACCTCCCCCTACCGTTCCTAGCTACTGTGTGGGAAACTCAAAGCTCAAAGTTGTTGATGCTAAATTGACTTGTCGTAATAAAATTCTGAACAAGTTACGAGCGAAGTTGCTGAAGGCCCAGGAGGCGATGAAGCATGCTGCTGACAAGAAGCAAGTTCCTGCCCCGTTCAAGCTTGGTGATCACGTCACGTTATGGTCAAACTTCGCCCTTACCGTCAGCATTCTTTGTCAGGACCACGAGTTCAGAAACTTTTTAAGCGTTATTATGGGCCTTTTGAAATTATAGAGTGCATTGGAGATGTAGCATTTCGCCTGGCTCTACCACCTCAGGCTAAACTTCACCCTATTTTTCATGCTTCTTTGTTGAAGCCTTTCACTGGCACAACTTCTTTTTCGTTACCTCCTTCCACCACTACTTCTCAGCCTATTATTTGGCCCTTGGCCATCTTGGTAGTGGATAATCATTCTCCACAACGTGTGTTAGTGCAATGGGATAGTCTATTTTCAGAGGATGCCACATGGGAAGATTTCAAGGAGCTTCAATCTGCTTATCCTAAATTACACCTTGAGGACAAGGTGTTTGTGAGGGGGGAAGAAGATGTTATGGACCATAATTAGGTTGAGGAGAAATTAGAGTCAAATATGTTTCAAGAGCCCAACCCAAGTGATTTGGAGGATACAATTGGAAAAGCCAAGCCAAAGCTGAGAAGAAATTCTCCTAGAAACCGTCAAGCCCCTCTGAAATTCAAGGAATACGAGATGAATTGATTATGTTAGGATTTATTTAATTTTCCTAATTTTTCTCTGCTCCAGTGATCATGTTGCTGTTTTAGGATTTACTCTATTTTTTGTATCTTTCCTCTATGTATTTATATCATTTTTATCATCAATAAAAAATGGAGAATATTTTGTAAGAACCCTTGTGGTTGTGGAAGTTTTCCTCTTCCCTCGAAGTAAGGTGAATTTCACTTTTAAATTTCACAGAACTCTTAACATCCTTCATCCACTTAAGCTAACCACACATTCTTTTGAGCTTTGCTGGGTGATGTAAACTATAATAATGGTCTTCCATCTCAACAGCAGAGGTTCTAAGTTCTTTACCTCTTACTCTATGTCTTCATTCCCTTATTGGATCATATCAAGCTCTGTCGCGTTGCTTTTGTGTTTCTAGTTTCCGATACAAGGATATATTATCTCTTCTGTATGAATTTAATAGTAGTACCACGCAAGATTGGAACATTGCAAGTTTGTCACAGTACTTGAGAAGATGAAGTGTTGTGGCAAAACATTATCCAAACCAAATTTGGAAGTAGCACAAAAAGTTTGAAGCATATACGAAGAGTTTGGAGAGAAATGTAGAAATCATCTCAAATTAATTTCTTTTCTTTTCTTAACTTGCTAGTTATTATTATTTAACTGAATTGGACTTTTAATTAACATTAATTGTTATCAAAGTTCATATTTCGTGGTAGCTGATAAAGTAATAATTAACCGGAAAGTAACAAAAGTGCTTTTCTCAATCTCAAAAGAGGAGAAAGCAAGGGTTGCTTTTGTCCAACCTAGGTATCAACAAGGGTAGACCAGAAACCCCAGTGATGGTTTCCCATGTCCACAAAGGTGGTGGTTCCCTTTCCTTCATGATGCAACAGCGTTAGCAGCGCCTTATTCATAGTGGGAGAGGAATCTTTACAAGAACAAATTGAACATCTTACTGCATTCAAAGTGGGGCTCATAATTAGATGCACCTTTGCATGGACAAGTAATATTATAAATTAAACAAGTGTGGGCAAAATTGCTTTTAGCAGCTAACGGAAAGGGAGCTCATAAAGAACTAGGATAATTACCTTACCGGTCACATTCACGAGACTAGTTATTTTCTGGGGCATATGTAAATATAACAGGTGATATTATTGGGAGTCTAAGACTAGCAAAATTAAGATTGTGGGTGTACATTGATTACTTAACAAACATTAGGTCCAAATCCGACAAAACCATTGGCTCCATCAACCGAAATCTGAATCCCTTCTTGCTGAATATTCCCCATGATGGAAAGGCCTGAAGGAGAAGGAGCAAATGCGAAACAGAAAGTTCCGACGTCATCTGCCGGAATTAAAAAGTTTCTGGCGGGGAGGGTCAGGATCTGCCCACCGGAAAAATAAAAGGATACGGTGGGGACCCGAACCGTAACGAACCCGTTTAAATCATAGCAAGTGTCGAAAATGGATACTCCGGATGCCAGGGGAAGGTTTGTGGTCTGAGCGATAAAAGCATCACGAAGAGCATTGTAAGCCAGCGTGGGAACCCTAGTAACTGCAGTGCCGGTGTCCATAACAACTCCTCCGTCGCCTAAATCGGTGACTCGGAAAACATCTTCGGATATGTTCAGGCGCGAGCCTCCGACTCCAAGACCCGAAAGGGCAACGTAGTAGAAACTGGGAAAGAAGGAGTTGCGAATGAGTGGGACCCATGCAGCTCCGAGGGGCATTGCTTGGCGTCCGAATTGGAGGGAACCGGACGATCCGGTGCCTCGAGTGAGTAAACAGTACCCGAAGGCACCACCGGTTTGGCCCCCTAGCTGGCCCACGAAGGACATGGGCCCAGCTCCGAGGCCCAACAGGCCAGCCGCTCCAACAAACATCCCCTGATTCCAATGGCCGCACCCTATGGCGGTGTTCCGTATAACCGTTGGGCCCAACGTGAGGGTTTCGAGTGCAAGTGTCCCTTTGGTGTAGGAGCCGTCGCCGTAGGAGACCTGGTAGGCGCAGCTTCCTTGGCGGCAGGCGGCGTCGTCGAGTTGGTCGCAGACGGTGGAGGAGCAAGAAAGGGCGGCGTAAGAAGCGGAGTGAGCCGGGTTGAATATCGGGTCGGATTGGTTGTAACATTGGGTACAGGGTTGGCATTGGACCCATACAATGTCACTCCCTGAGTCAATAACCATGTACTGATACGTTGGAGGGCTACCCACTCCTATTCTCACGAAATACTCTCCACTCCCTTGCTCCGTACCCGACACCACATCCGACCCGAAACCCGCTTCTTTGTATTCGTAGCTGTAACCGTTATTTAGGCGGCGAAGGAGTGAGGCTACCCTTTTCACATCCCGTTTCATTCTTGCGTTGAAACGCGTTCGATGATCCTTGTCAGGGGCCTTGCTTATCTTGTCTCTGTGAACCAGCTTCACCTTCCATTTTCCCTCTTCCTCTTCCTCTTCCAGTTCCAAATCATCTCCTCCTTTCGGATTCAGCTTCGTTCCTACGATTGCTTCCTCCACGTTCAGCTCTTGAAAGTGAGAAGGCCAGGTTGAAGCTGCAGAGCAGGTGGAAGTTGTTAGAATTAGAAGGATCAGCAGCAGCAGTGCTACATTGTCCATTGTTGCAGCCGCTCCCGAGGACTAAGGTGTGACTCTACACTGAACTCAGGATTATATTATTATTATTATTTGGTTGGACAGGATGCAGCTAGAGAGAGAGAGAGAGAGAGAGAGAGAGAGAGCTGAGAGAGAACTGTTACATGATGAAAATGATTGAATTTTGGAATGACTTTTTGTACTGAAATGCATCCATCAGGAACAGGAAAGGACGTGGTTGTGGTGATTTCCAGCCAGATGCCACATACAAACAAATTGAATCACACTCGTATCGTAAATCATGCTACTTTTTTATTTTTCATTTAGGTAACGACTCTTTTTCCACTCTTTTGACTTGCACACCCTTTATAATACTTGTATAAACCAGTTAATTCGTAAAGTGCTGAAAAAAATATTAAGTTCCCACTAGTCCTATATAAAACAGTCTGTATTACCCTCTTAGGAAAAAAAGAGAGTTAATTATCCTTAAAATTTTCTACAATAGGGCTGTAAAAGCATGTAACCTTTTACCAATATTTAAATTGAAGCTGTATACCCTTCTAGCTGATCCTACCTCAGCTTAGTCTTAAATGGATTTCGTGAATAAACTTATGAGTGTAACTTCATTGAAATATCTGTGACAATCTCGCCATTTCTAATACAAATTGTCTATAGCTATTAATTTGATTAATTGACAATATGAGGTAACAAGGATGAATACGATAGATAGGAATGGAGATTTTGGCTTAGATGTAATATTCAAGTATACTAATATATGTTTGCTCTTAACATATTGATAAAGATCTCTCCTTTGTTGAGGTTGTACTTTGGAGTTTCGGTGGAGATGTTTTAATATATGAGAGAAAAAATAGGAATTTGTTGTTTGGAATACAGAGTAAAGGTGTCCATCAATCATTTCATAAAGCTAAGACAAAGTGCGGATTTCGTGCATGCGTTGTTGGATATGATGCCCTCGTGCAACAACATCACTATTCTTCTCCCTTGATTGTTTGTATTTCCTTTTTATAGTTATTACTAGAGTCTAAGGGAAAATGGGAAGAACTTTGACTAGGATATGCATCAACTTTACGGGTTTGCCTCCTTCCCAGAATAAAGAATCTGATATAAGAAAACTTTTAATGTTTTTAATGTGTGATTTTATTATGAATTAGGCTATTTTTTTGTTTTTGTTTTTTGGGCCAAAGATGAATTTACCTAAGAAGGCAAAACCAGCGCTTAACTTGATATTTTGTTTTTAGGGATCACAAGATCCGTGTCACGTTAGAATTTATCTTTTAAGATGTTTGGGGTCCCAGCTGTGACTCTAATTTAGTCTCAAATCAAGTATGAATGAATATATTTCATATATCTATTTTTCTAACACTAACACGTGCAATTAGTGCCAAGCAAAAAGATTTCAGTTATACAAGTTTATACTGATCTTGAAAAATTGAGGACATGTTAAACTGTTTTTTTAGTCCATATATATTTTTTAATCAGATTAGTATTTTAAGTCCACTTTTCAAAATTGAATTTTTCCTTATTTATTTAAATCTATGTTGTGCATGAAAGTTTTACTTGAGACTTATTAGACCTATATCTAGTCTCTAGAGACTAGAGGTTACTCACCCTGAGTAAAAAATGCAATGGAGCAAGATAGACTTTGAAATTAATTTTATAACTGGTGCATTTATAGTATAAAGATAATACGTCATATCATTGACAAAGTTTCTCTGTGGCTATCTTTTATGATTAATATTTTTTTATTAAGATTAAATATTTAAAAATAATACTTTTTAAATATAATTATTATATTAAAGATGCAAAAATATAACAAATATTTTTAAATTAATTATTATTTTTATATTTAAATTTATTTATTTAATTTTGAAAAATATTATAACATAATATTTTTATTAATATTTAATATTATTAATATTTATTTTTATGAATTTTAATTTAAACTTTCATCATCAATTCTATTTATTAAAAATAAGTTAAAAATAATAATAAATAGTTAATAAAATCTACTATAAAGTATAATACAATTACTAAAAATTTCTAAATTTTTCAAAACACACTAATTTAATACAAAGGTACAATACAATAACTTAGTTTTACCTTAAAACTTAAATTTATAAATATATTTAAAATGCATCCTCATCCTCTCTCTTTAACATAAATGTATTGAAAATTGATTTTGCATTAAAAATTGGATTTAAAACTATACGTAAAATTGGATTTAAAATTAATTTAACAAAAACATTGGATTTAAGATCAGATTAAATTAACAAAAATATTAAATTTAAAATCAGTTTCAACCTAAACTAAATTTAAAACTGTCAATTTTAAATAATCTAAATTTTAAAATTAGTTTTAAATTAATTTTGAAAAATATAAAATAAATTAATTTCAAATTCAATCGGTATAATTAAATTCAAAATAAATTTTGATTGGTTGTGTTAATCCAATGGGTGCATACCTCTACATGTAGAAAAATAAAAAGTTGTATATTATAAGTTTTAATAAAAATATTGTAACACTTACTATAACGATGTATTTTATTGCATTAAATTCAATAATTTTCAATAAAAATACACATAAAGTTGCATAGATAAAAAAAAAATTATTTCACATATTATAGGTAAAATAGTATTTTTATCTTTCAACTTAAAGATTAAATTTGATTTCATCCTTCAACTTTATTTTGATTTATTTTGTTTCTTTAACTTGTAAAAATATTTCTAATAAGTCTTTTTCAATTAAAAACATTAAATCTATTAATATTTTTAAAAAAAAAATTTGGCCACGTGCATCGTTTATCGTCTCCTTCCTCGTCCTTTGTGCATCCTTCATCATCATCTTCTTCAAAGCTCTAGATTCCAACTTTCCCTTCCATATCATTCTCAAGCAATTCATCACAAACCAATGCCTAGTCAAGTTTTTATTACTTTTTCATCAATGACAAAGGTAATTACACAAAGCCATTTACTTCCTTTGACTTTAGAAAATATCAAATTTTATAGTCGCTAGCTTGCTTGAATCTTAGATAAGATACACAACAATCATTCTTTAATTTTAAATTTACTCAAGTCACGTGGTAATTTTCTCCCATTCTAAAAATACTTTTGGAAGTCCATTCTAAAATTATGGTTTTCTCCAACATATTGAAGGACACTCAGAATCATATATTTACTGAATCATATGAACAAGTTATTCAACAAGTTCAGGTGACTGCTTTTGCGTGCATTTTACTATTGGACATTGGTTTAAGATGAATTGCTTTAGAATGATCTAAAGGAAAAAGTTGAAATTAAAGCTCAAGCAAAGAAAACAATGAATGGTGTACAAAGGCTAAAGGAAGAAGATGATAAATAATGCAAGAACAATACAAGTGGCAAAAAAAAAATATTAACAAAGTTAACATTTTTAACATAAATGATTTATTTGTAACAATTTTAAAAGTTAAAAGATAGAAATGAATTAAGTCAAAGTTGAAGGACAAAATTGAATTTGACCTAAATTAAAAAATGAAAATACTAATTTTGCATATATTATATAACTTTTAAAATTAGTTAAAATATATTTATTTACAAATTAATCTTTACTTATAGTCAAGTAGTAATTTTCTCCTATTCATTTGAAAACACTTTTGTAAGTCCATTTTGTAAATCAAAAATCAATCTTTTTTAAACAAATATCAGATTATTTGGTCATAATATTCATCAAGGAACTATTATCTTTATGAGGAGATCTATTGAATTTGCTAACAAATTTTCAGATAGAATCCTTGATAATACTCAATTACAGATATTTTTAAGATATCTTAATTATGTAGGAGAATTTATTCCTCATCTCAATAATATTATTAAGTCTCTTCATGATAGGCTTAAGTAAAATCCTCTTGCAAGATCTGATATTCATACCAATGTAGTTAGGGATATCAAATCTAAAGTTAGAGAGATAAAATATCCTTATCTCCCTATCTCTCAAGCCTTCAAAATTGTTGAAATACATGTATCTGACATTAGTTATGGTGGTATTCTCAAATAGAGAATAAACAATTATGAGCATATCATTGCATATGCATTAAAACACTAAAATTCTACATAACAGAATTACTCAACATTAAAAAAAGAAGTTTTAGCAATTATTTTATGTGTTTCAAAATTTCAATCTGATTTATTAAATCAAAAGTTTCTTATTAGAGTATATTGCAAATCTGCTAAAAAAAATTTACAAAAAGATGTAAAAAATCTTATCTCTAAACAAATTTTTGCAAGATGACAAACAATTTTAAGTATTTTTTATTTTGAAATAGAATATCTCAAAGGAATTTCAAATTCTCTTCCTGATTACCTTGTGAATTTTTACAAGATAAGTAACATGCCTCAAAAGGCTTCAACCTCTTCAAGAGGAGGTACCACCAACAGAGGAAGAGTTGGGCTTGCTCTGACTTAAAGTCATCTACTCCGACTGGATCATCGACCCAGAAAGCTATCGAGGTTGTTGAGTCATCTACTTAGCAATCAGGAATTCCTAAAAAAGATTCATCCAACAAGGTTGATTCTTCCTTAACCCAATCCAAAACAATTAAACAGACCAAAGCTGATTATGCTTTACCTATTAGTACCCTTCTGGCTCTCCAATAAGGAAGTCTGAGCATTTTACCTAAAAAATCCTGGGCAAATATTGCTTCAGAAGATGAAATAGAATTAGACTTAACTAGCCTAAATACCATAATCTAATCTTTAACTCAAACACAAAAAATATATTAATGTCTTGGAAGAAACCAGTGAAGTTGTTACTCTCTAGAAAAACAAATTTCCAAAACCTTACAAAATTCATCCCATTATATAGCCAAGAGAAAATTTTTCTCGGTAATCCAGATGGAGCCAGAATTTTAGGACAAAAATTCTTACAAAGCAGTGTCTAAAATTTTCCCACAAGGATTTCATTTTAAACCTTTAGCCTTAAATAGAACCAGATAATTCTATGAATTTATCTTAGTGAATTTAGATTCTGTTTCCATTAAACATTATAAAGATAAAAAAGATCTATCCATTATTACTCACTCAACAATACAGATCCTCAAAGTTTTAACCCCTAAGGAGTTCGGGAAAGATCTGAATTCTTACAAAAAAAATTTCTCAACCTTTTGATCATATATGTTATAATTATTGGGATTATATCGATGCATGGACAAGAGTATTTTGGTTTCAAAATAAACTCAACTGACATTCTTGGTTAGTTTATTTTAAGAAGACCCAAGATTTTGGAAGACATTACAATTTTTCAAATTGGTTCCTTCAATGGTGTGACTTCTTTGGACTTATTGAAAATATCCTTCAATCTTTAGTAAAAGAAGGATATAATCACTTCAAGAGAAGGTATGCTTCTGAATCAAGAATTGGAGTTGATCTTAAATATTTTTCTGGCTTTGCACTTACCTGAGTATTCTCGTGGCAATATCGATACAACGAACCAGAAAATCAAGAGATTCTTCCTATATTACAAATATATTCTTTTGTTAAGTTGTGGAATCAATTTAATAGTGATCATGTAGGACCCTTAGGAGTTAACAACTTCTTTAGTATAAATCTTCAATACCTCAAGATTTTTGACCCAGATATTTCGAGATTTCTCAATCAGAAATCAAGAATTGCAGCATTCCTGACAAGTTGCAACTCAAAAGAAGACTTGAAGAGTAATTTAAAAGATGATCTTCTACTTCTTCAAAAAGATGAAGTAGAAACTTCTTCAAAGAAAGAATCAGATGATACTTACCAAAATAAAGATAACTGTTTTGGTATAAATATTCAAGAGTTATGACTTGTACTATAGCTAATAGTGTCTGTTAATCAACTGAATTTGTAGAAATAGTAGTTTTTAAAATTCTATATATATATATATATATATATATCAAATATCATTAAATTCATACATATTGATAGATTAGATTTTTATTGATTTGGTTAACAGATAGATCAATAAAAATAATATGTAATAAATACTGAGAAAAGTTTATATTTGGCAATTTATATTACAATTAGAAAATTAAATATACCTTGATAATTTATTTATGGACAGAAAATTGCTAATTTGTATCATAATATAAAGGTTAGAAATCCAATTATATAACAAAATTGATTCTCTAAGGTTTAAGTAGTGACATTATTTCATATTTCAAAGATAATAATTTTAAAAAAATATATATTTTTTTTGCTATTAAAATAAAAATATTTTTAAAAATTATATAGAAATTATATTATATAAGAAAGTAGATTACATATAAATTAAGATGATTATACATTCGAAAGTTATAATGAGAATATTAACGTTCGTTCTTTATTCATTCATTTGAAGATAAAGTAAAAGATAAAAATATAAAATAAGATTATTTATTAGGTAAGAATTAAATGTGGTGTCTTATATTATTTTCAAAATCTTTACAATACAAGTCTTTTTTTTTTTTAACTAAATTTGGTGTCGTGTATTTTTTTTAAAATTATAATTAGTTAAAATACAATTTTTTTCTTTTAGTTAACATTTTTACAAATTAATTTTTATTTAAAAAAATTATGTTTTGGTCCTTATAATTTTGTTACATTTTGATTATTTTCATTGTTAATAATAGATTAGATAAAATGAGTCTATTTGATAGACCAGCGTAATAAAATTGAAGGCTCGAATAAATTTGTATTTTTTCTGCCCATTTTGTTTAGGCTCAAATCAATTGTCTTATGAATCAAGATCCTCTTCAGTTTACATTGGAATAAGACTATTCAATTTCATTTTAATTTAAGCGAATTAATATTTTCTCAAGCGAATCATGAAATTAGATAGTCCTATTTCATTTTTATTTAAGTGAATCTTAATTTTTTCAAGAGAAAATAGTATTATAAGAGGAGGAGGAGAAGAAAGAGTGTAATGGAGAAGATGAACAAGAAGAAATTGAAATGGTGGAAATTATGAAACTATATCAAATCTTTTTGCTCACTTTTCCCATCTCCTTTTTCTTTAACCTAGTCTTAACAAGGAAACTTTAGCAACTTGGAGAAGTTATTTTAGGGCTTGAAATGCTTCTAGTGTAAAAGAGATGATAAAATACCTTATTTTATCAATTTTTAACTAAATTAAAAATATATTATTTTTAAAAAAAGTAACAATATGTAATTGGTCCATTTTTTAAAAAGACAAAAGACTTATCTCAAATGAATCATATTTTAAAAACTACTTCACCTTTTTTTAAAAAAATTAACTAATTACATATAAAAAAAAAAGTGTTGCTAATATTCCTCATTTTTATAATCAAATTAAATTATATTTTAGAAGTAAATTCAAAGTAAACCACAAACACCTCCAAAACAAGTGTAAGATGAGCCTCAAGGTACAATCCTGATCGAAATATTCTCTTTTCTCTCGTATTACATCAAATACGTCGTTGAATTAAGAATTTGACACCTGTGAGAAGATATACAAAATGAGAGTAACCATTTATTTACCTTTGATTTAAAAATTAATTATATATAATAAATGCTCAAATTCAAATCAATGATAAATATATACTCACATTTTCACTTTAAACATCTCAGGATCTAAATCCTCGAATAATTGTCCAACATTGATGAAAACAGAGATCCCATAAAACATTGTAGTTGGGTCTTCAGTATGGACACCAAGCCGAGCAAAGATGCACAACCCTTCGACTTTTACTATACATTGAAATTTATAAAGGTCATGTCCATGCTATAAACTTTTTAACTAACATAAAATAAAATAGACAAGAATATGTAGTTCAAAAATAGTTCAATATATTACACAACTCTGAAAGAAAATTGAAACGAGACAGCCCCACAATAAAGGCTTTAAAATGACAACAATAAACAAATTATAAAAGACAAATCATCCGCCTCAAATAATATAATCAGTATCAAATTACAACAAAATTTCATTTGATTGACCTAACCGTATATGCTAACAAGTTTGTCAGTTGCTCCATTCTAATCTAGCAAGCAGAGATTAGTGGGTTTCAAGAACCAAACTGCTATCTAAGAAAAACGAAGTCAGTAAAGACAATGCTGAAGTACATGAAAAGATCATCTCATAACGGACTCTTTCACATATGATCGACCACCAGAACTGCAACGCCAGGTAACAAAGTCAGATATCCATTGTAAAAAATAAATTACCCTGAAGATATTTCATGGTGAAAGAAATTGTTCTCACTCACGTATACTCAAGGTGAATATTCATAAATCGAGCATTTTCCTTGCTTTGTGACAATGTCACTGAACCTTCAATTAGTTGATCTTGTTCCAGCTCTATCGGATCATAAAAGTATATCATTGTCTGCAAAATGCATCAATAAGATCAAAAGGATGATAATAAAAGCCTAGCATAAATAAAATAAAGGGAATTGTCATGAACTTGTTATTCCAAAAGATAGCTTGAACTCCTATGTCCACATCTCTAACAGGAATAGATGGGAACATATTCAAGGTATGCCTCCACTTTCATTTCATATCTTCCCATGTCCTTCCCCCAACCACAGTTTTCACATCTTCACGAACAATCATCCAACTTCCTTGAATTTAGGAAATTGGAAAGAAGGATGGCATACTTTCCAGTTTACATAACTAACATATTAACAAGTGATGTCATAGCAACATGCTACTACTGGGTGAAATTTGTGTGGGTCACAGTGGACCCAGATTTGTTTAGTAAGACCCGCATAAATTTATCTAATAAAAACTGTGAAAATAGTGTGTTGCTAGCATTGTTCTTCATATAATGGAGTATACTATACCCCAATTTGGTATTCAAAAGAAATTTTTGGTACACTGGAGACTAAAGTGCTTGCGCAGGGGAGCAGGATAGATGACATTAAGGATTAAACCGCTAATATTATTATCACCCTTAAGTCTCAAGGTCTTGACCAGTGCCAATTGAGCTACAAACTCATTGGCTAAAATATATCTAGTATTTTTTCGTGTGATGTGCTTCAATGTAGTTTTGCACATGTGCCACTCGGCAAGGTGATAGGATCTTTGCTGCAATAGTGTGGCAAAAACATATAGCTGGCAGCCAATTAAAGAACTACTTATGAAATGGATACAGAAAAGCAACTGAATATAAGACATCTTATCCATTGTTCTTCTCATATATGCTTAACAACTGACAAAAGACTTGTGCGTTGTACTCATCACTGATAAATACTGCACCTGCTGCCAATGTGTGGGAGGGTCCTCAGGTGCTGTGGACAGGACCAGCGCTTCATTTGGATTTGTTCGCTTTTTTCTCTGACTACCATTCATCTGATGATTGTCGATAAATGAAGCTGACGAATGATAATTGGTTGGTGCTATTGCAGACCCGTTAAATTCAACATCAAACCAAAATGCAAAACCATGTAGTGGTGCTGGAGAAAACAGGAAACATTTAAATCAATGCCATGATATTGCAAGATTTTCATTAAATTCAGAATAATTTGCGAGTAAATTGAATGAAAACAGAGTACTGTGTAAACTTCCAAGCCAACATGAAGATGATGGAAACAAGCTCAAATATTAGTAGCAAGCAAGCGATTCAGATATCAATACAACAGTGAAAAAGAAGAACAGACAAAAGGAGGTTACCTCGCATCATAGAATTGAACTTAAACTTGGTTGTTACAGATTCTAACTCATGGTTGGTAACAGAATAACAATCAATATATTTCACCTGTTACAGTAAATGATCAATTTCTTCAGAAATGATACTGAATACGAAAATAATATATTATTAAGGATAAAATGGAAAAAATGAAGTTAATTAAAAAAAATAAGCTGATAGCTTTTAATAATAAGCCCCAAACTTTTGCTTGTCTTAAATAAGCTATAAGTTACTTCCTTTACAGAAAAATTAATCAAAGATCATAAGCTAATTTTCTGAACCAAACAAGAATCAACAGTATTTTTTAATTTTATATATATATATATATATATATATATATATATATATATATATATAATCCAAACACATATTTAATTAAGTGCTTATTTAATAAGCTCTTTTTACACAAGGGACTATCCCATAAATCTGACCATAAGATTTTTTAGAATAAGCTTAAAAGAACTCATTTTAATAAGTTATATTGAGAAGCTTATTAAAATAAGTTAAAAATAGCTATGAGAGCTATAAGCTATTTCCATAACCTCTTCCAAACGTCCCGTAAGAAAGAAAGGAGATAGAAATACAAGAGGAAAATACTCTATATTATGAAAAAGTTAACCAAACCTTTCTTCAAACCAAAACCAAAGCAGAAAACATACTTAAAGTATAACCTATACAAGTATGTTATTCAGCATCTTACAGTTATGAAGAGAAGTCAAACCATAGACAGTGACAATAACACTGGTGGACTTACCACGTGTGGCCATGTCAAAACATTTTCACCAGTTATTGTCTCAACAGAAGGTTCTTCAAATGCACATTGTTTAGCTAATGATAGCATGGCAGACACTGCAACAAAAAGCAGCATTAAAATGTGACAAGGCAACCAATAGATGAAAGGAAATAGGATATTTACAGACTCTTCTACCTAGTAATAGTATATATACCTTAACAAATGTTCAACATACATAATTGTAAGTTAGATCCATCATTTGACATCTCGCAGAAACTAGGTTTTTCATTTTGCTAGGGAGAGACACCTCATCACTTTAGGAGCAAAGTTTCAAGGTTGCAAATTGATTTTTTCTTGGTGAAGAATCTAGATAAAGGAATTTGTAAGGATTGTAAAGTAATTCCAAGAGAGAACCTTATTACACAAAAAAGGGTCTTTGTCTTTGATGTTCGTTTTAAGACTGGTAAATAGAGAGTTCAACAAATTATTGTTCCAAAAATTAAATGGTGGATACTTAAAGGTGAGACAGAATTGGACTTTCAAAAGCAGCTAGTAAAAGAGGATAGTTGGACGACTCAAGGTAATATTACAAGCTATGAAGGTCAGGAAATTTGCCAAGAAAATTTTAGGTAAATCTAGAGGTTTTGGATCAAAAGACAAGGAATCATGGTGGTTAAATTAAAGTGTAAAAGAAAAGATTAGAGAGAATAGAATGTGTTTTAAAACTTTGCATATATGCAACAATGATGAAAATTGAGCAAGGTATCAAAATGCAAGAACTGAGACATGAAAAGCAGTGAGAGAAAGATTTATATGCTTTCCAAATGTAAAGAATGAAAATCTCGAGATTTGAATCAAGTTAGATGTATTAAGGATGAAAAAGGAAAAATTTTGGTTTCTAATCAAGGCATCAAAGGCAGATGGAAGAAATATTTCTATAAACCTTTTAATGATGGACAAGGAACAAATAGAAATATAGCAAGATTACATGTGCAAACAAATGATCTAAATTTCACATATTACCATAGAATTCAAGTTGAAAAAATAAAAGAAACTCTTAAGAGGATCAACAATGGTAAAGCGGTTGGCCCTAATATCTCTGTAGAAGTTTGGAAAAGTTTAGGAAAATAAAGACTTGAGTGACTCACAAAGCTCTTTAATGAGATTTTGAAATCTAAAATATGTCAAATGAATGGAGAAGAGTACTTTGATTCTTATATACAAGAGTAAGGCTGATGTCAAAAATTGTGCAAGTTATAGAGGGAATAAACTTGAGTCACACTGTGAAGTTGTAGGAAAAGGTGATTGAACATGAGATTGCAAAAAGTTAATTTGATTTTATGTCTAGGTCTACGACAAAAGCTACACATCTTTTACAAAAGATGATGGAAAAGTATCGTTACAACGAAAATGACTTAATATAATTTTTATCAACTTGGAAAAAACATGATTGAGTACAAAGTGAAGTGTTACAGAAGGCTTTAGAAAAAGGAAAGGGGTCCATGTAGCATCAAGACTTGTATGAGAGGCTAACTATGTGTGTGACACACTTCTAGAAACGTATCTAAGGACTTTTCAATAAGGATAGGTTTACATCAAAGCTCCACTTTGAGTTCTTGTTTAATTTAATCTTAAAAGTGCTTACAATTGATATACAAAATATTATCCCTCAGTGTATGATCCCTACAAATGATATAAATTGTTTGTGATCATAAAGTACCTATCAAATTGAAAAGAAAGTTATACTGCATTGCAATACGACCAATTATTTTATATAATAGTGAATGTTAGGCCTTAAACAAACAATACAAGAATAAAGTAAGAGTGACAAAAATGAAAATGTTAAGGTGAATAAGTGGTCATACAAGAAAGGACAAGATAAAAAATGATAATTTACGAGAGTATATTGAAGCAGCACAAAAAATGAATGGAAATCATTTAAGGTGGTTTGGTCACATGTAGAGAAGACCTGTGAAGGCACCAATACCAATAAGGAGAGTGGATTGCATAACATTTAGTCAGGTAAAAAAAAGTCTAGGGAGACTCAAGAACTTTAAATGAAGTTATTAAAAGAGCCATTTTGATTAACCAGATTTATGAAAATTTGATTTTTAACCGAGTTCAATGGCATCCATGTGATCCATGTAGCCAACCATATTTAGTAGGACAAGGCTAGATTGTTGTATTTATATGCATATACCATATATTATATTGCTTAAATTATTTAATTTGTATATAAAATTTTCAAATAGTGGTCATCTCACTATAGGCTATCCCACTATAGCATTTTTAGTGTCAACCATTATGCACCACTATCCGAGATTGATAATCATTGTTAAGATGAGAAAGCATTTCCAATGCCTTATATTTGCACATACAATGGTAAGAATTTTGCCAACAGTTTCAAACTGGAAAAGGAAAAACAATAATAAAAATTAATTCCTAGATCTGGCAAAATGGTAAGAAATTAATATAAGGATGAGTAATTGAAAGACAAGCATTTTGTGGTCATAGCTGTGTTTGCAGCCCAAACTGCAGCTTTTCACAGTGGTATTGCGCTGCTATAGATAAAAATGCCAACTTTCCCTTTTAACCCTCAAAATGTAACAGTTTTCAGGGTTTTAAAGGGTAAAATAGACTTCTCATCTTTCAGAAATAAGCTAACTTTCCTTTCTTGCCCACAAGAAGACACAGTTTTGAGGGGGTAAAATAGTCTTCTTCCCACTTTTCAGATTACATGACCTAACCCACTCCTCTCCCCACGTTTTCCTACACCCCCATCTCTATTCAACCCTCCCTCCTCTTATCTCTATCTCTGTTCTGCTCTTCTGCTTCACTATTATCTCCAGAGGAGCCACCCATCTCCAACAACTTCTCCAGCAAAATCTACCTCCTTTCTTCTCTCTATTCTTTGGTTGTGCAGTCCTTCTGTGGTGTTCTCTGTTGTTTCTTCTAAGCAACAGTGGCAGCTAGCAATGGCATCATCTAATTTATTTACTTGTATATTTTGCCTAAGACTGATGTCTTTTGTTGATAACTATTCATATGTTTTGGATTATGTATATAAAAAAAAAATTAAGATAGTGGTTATCCCACTGGCATTTTGAGCTGTCCACTACACACCACTATCTCGGGTTAATTACCATGAGCAAAACAAAAACTAAAAATCATGGCAGGAGAGCCATCCAATACAGAGTTACAGACGATTGAAGAAAAAGAAAACCTAAAAAAACATAGCTCAACTACATAAATTGAGAAGCATACAACTCTATCCTTCAAAAAGAGGAAATGGAAGAAATTCATCCTGGAAAGTTGTGGCATTATGCTCTATTGAAACACAAACAGACAAAAACAACTCCAAAACAAAAATTACACATAACAGAAAATCTCAAAAAAACCCTACCATTTCTGTTAAAAGGTACACATGGCATAAATAATCAGTCCCTGTATAATGATTTCAAGGGAAAAAATAGAATAATCTAATATGGACAATGAAAAGATATTTTATGACGATCATAAACAACAACCAAGTCTTATTCCACTGAGTGAGGTTCAGCTAAATGGACCAAAAATTACATATTGCAGGACCAAAAAGTTAAACTGCAGCGTTGATTTCTAGAAGTATTTTATTATTCATTATGAAGAGTTCATTCACAAAGAAAGTAAATAAAATATGCACATCTAGCTCTAGCTTCAATTTTAAGTGTGCCCAAAGTACATTGTGGGTTTGTTTGGCGATTATGATAAGTAACTTATCATATCCTATTTATTTCCAATGTTTGTTGAACTAATAAAATATGATAGTTTACCTTGCTCAGTTATTCTATCCTATCTTGATAATTCAAAATTATCCTTTACTTTCATACTCAAACGTTGGATGGGATAATATAATGCTTTCTGCTTTATTACCCTAGTAGCAATCATCAAACATAGGATAAGATAGAGTGTATCATACTCTTACCATATCATATCCTTATTGAACTCTCATATCCTATCCTTTATATCCTATCCTGTCTACCAAACATTACCCTATTGGTTTGGAAATCTTCATACAATTTAATATGTCCTATAAGCTACCAAGTAGAGCACTCACTATCAATTCCATAAACATTGCGCCAAAAGTCAACGCTTTCACTGTATCTGTCAGGATGTGTGACAGGAGCCATGTACAACTGGAGAAAAGAACAAGATGAGGTCAGCATTTTCTGTTTTGAAACCAAAAGGTCAAATCAGTGCTTGTTTGGTTTTCAGTTTTTCAATTCGAATTTAGAATCAATTCTTAAAAATCAAATCAATGGTCAGAGATAAACATGCACTACTTCCAAGACATGTTTAATGGCATAGATTATTTTCTCCTTTAGCTGAAATCATTCTAACCAAAGCCAACAGTAAAACAAACATATCCCCAAGCAATTCTAGGATCCAAGCATAAAAAATCATAGAACCAATTATGAAGCCACTTTAGGCAGGGCTTCTACAAGACAAAAGAACCTGCAGAATAGGTATTCCCAATATTAAAAACAACAAATAACATATCTACACATAAGCAAAAATACATAGATACCGTTGCACTTGAAGGAAGAATAAGACCACCAGGTTTGAGCCAGCGATCTCTAGCAGTAATAACACTCCCAAGCATGCTCTACAAAGAAAGAAAATACTTCAAACCAATATAATTTGTTTTAAAAAAAAATGCATATTTTACTGTTAGAAGCTGGGAAACTGAAGTTCATGTTGATGTCTAACTATCATTTAGACTGGGGCAAACTTGTGTTGAAACTGAAGCAGTCACCCTTCCCTAACCCTAACCAAAAAATAAAAAAGGGGAAGAAATAAAAGAAGGAAAAATTCTTAATGTCCTTTAATATTTTGGTTACTACACTAAAAATAAGACAGAATGTCAATAAATTACAAATATTGTTTTTATGCTTCCATAGATGCTAACTGTTTAGAATTAGGATTCAATTTGGTAAGATATGGGACTTGAGTCCCACATTGGAAGTGTGGGATTTATAAGGCCTTGGGCTTATCTACCTCATAGATGTTATGCCTTAGACTCTTTCTTCGACAAACCTAACTACTTATATGAATGTGAAATCAAATGATAACTTCCAATGTTGAAAAAACCAGACCAAACCAACTAAATTGTCAGGAAAGTCAGTGAACCAGTCAGATGTCTAGTCCATTCAAAACCCAACAAAAAAAAGGATGATCATAAAACTGGTCAAACCAGTCCAAAATCAGTGAAGAACAAACATGTGAGAACAGGTTTCAACTGACTATTTTTGCTTTCCCAATTGTTTAATTTTCATTTTTTTTCAACCAAATATAATTTTCTAGCCAAATGAAGGCTCATAATAATGTTATATAGCATCTTAATTTTGTTTTCTAATCTTACAGGATACGACCATTTTCTATAAATTAAAAAGTTTACTATATTTTCCTACAATTCGTGTTAGTTTTTATTACATATTATATATGTGTGTGTGTGTGTGTGTTATTGATTCAACCACTGTCACACTAGTAAACCATGAACTTTTACTGGTTCAATGATCCTTCCACTTTTTTGAAACATTGTAAACTTCTCTTGGCTTTTTCTGTCTTTATCTTCTTTTTTTCATTCTTTCCATTTCTTTTAAAGCCAGGATATAACAAGTTATAAGTTTTATTAAAGATCAAATAACAAGTAACAACAATAAATTAGTCCTTTGTAAACTTCTCTGTTCATGTTACAGAGCAGTATTTCCCTTGTAAAGGAGATTTTCTCCTATTTTCAGAATTAATTTCAGTCCCTATCAAAAGAAAACGTTACAATGAAATAATCACAGAATATTGGACAATGAAATCATTGAATGAGCAACCCAAATTAAGCAAATAAATTATTGCAAGTGAAAAAGCAACAGTTGCTTCAGCTTGAAAAGTCTTGCACTGTGCTCAAACCAAATGCATAAAGTCATTTCCTATTGTACTCAAAGATTTAAAATAAATAAATAAGTAAAAGCCATTTCCTATTCTACTAAGCTAAGATGAGAAATTAAACCCATCTACTTTCCACTCCAAGAATGTTGTGGGACTAATTAACATTTTCTTTTGTTTCTAGACACAGCTGAAATTCAAAAACTCCAAAGAATCTACACTGAACATACACCAAGCACCTCAGGGTGGCATGCAAATGTAAATCTTGGCATCTCAAATTAATGCCAAAATAGGGCTTAATTAGTATTTCACCCAACCCAATTTCAGATATACTGGTTTTGGGGTCAACAAGCTAGTTAATAGCATAATATAAATAAATATTTATAAACATATATGTGTCATGTATAAAAAATTGTACTCAAATCAGGCTTCAAGCATGAATTTTCAATTTTAACTTTCATTCTACTCCTATTTGGCTTTGAATTATTCAAATTTGAAAATGAATCAAACTCAAATATGTCAACTGCTCAATTTGATTTGACTTTGATCATGCCTCTACAGTTACCTCACTACATAAATTTGATGACATCTTTGGCTTTGAAACTGTTTAAACACTAAAACCACATTTCAATATAGTATTACAAGCAATTTCAAGACATGCCATACGTCATTAGCATTAATCAATAATCATGTCAACCATCACAGTCCGATTGAAAATATGAGCTTGGGAGGTGTCCTTGCTCTCCAACAATGTGTCTCTCTCTCTATGTGTTCATGTAAAATGAGTCATAGCCATTTGTTACTGTTGTTGCATTATTGCATAGTTAAAAATCATTTACTAAGTACAACAGCAATATGAAGTTCCGAGAAAAAGAAGATTTGGTTTATCTGTTTTCTCGTACAAACCCATAACTTCTAAATAAAGTTCAACAATAAACTTGTGGTCTATTGAATTATATACTTGGGCCATTTTGTCTTTTCGAACAATCATGCCGTCAAATGACCAATTCATTTTTTTTATTAGTCAATCATTGGAACACATAGGACCTAGACTCACAATATGAGAAGTCAATTTTCTTTTAAATTGTCCACAACAAAATTACAGGATTTTCCAAATTTATCTTTCTGAAAGTGATGATCTAAAATTAGTTTTCATTAAAATAATTTCAATTAAGTTATTCAAATATCACCAGCCTCAAAAGTTAATTTATGGTTTTATTCTGCTGATTTCAAGAAAAAATGTTTTAGCTTTGAACATTCAAAAATATACATTTAACCAAACAACCAGGAAATTCCTAATCAACACCTCATATAGAAGCATGTAGCCCATCCATTCAGAAATTATAACATCCACCTCTTCATCAATTTCAACATCCTGCAAAAATCATAACCTTAAGGTAAACATAAAATCATAAAGTTTGTTCATAGTAACAAATATAAAGTTGAAAAAGGAAAAATTATACAAATTATAAAGTAGAATCTGCTAGAATATACATATACATACACCTAAACAAAAATATTAGAGATATTTTGTTAAACAGAAAAGAGAAGCTACAATGGAAGGTGGATTATCTGTTGTAAACCTAGGGAGAACCACACCAAAGCAGCTAGTCATTAGCCATTGTGGAAGAACCCAAGGGCATATAAACCCCAGATCATACGTATGGTGTGGGACAGTGATAAAAGATGATAAAACCAAAGCAAATCACAAACTGGGGCAGTGAAAATATACCAAGAAGTGGCTCTTGTGACAGGAATAAATAGAGTTGTGGTACAGAATGAAAAGAAAAGAAACAAAGAGAGCCATTCAAGGGAGGAAAGAAACAGCAGGCAATGATAATTTTTTTAATCTTTTGAGTTTCAAGGACATTTTTTGAGAGAAATTGGAGCAAACTTTCTCAAGGGGTTTAACTGCAAAGAGTCCAGCTTCTCATCCCTTTTCTCTTCTTTAATTTTTATTGTTCTTATCATGGAGTAAATTTTTATCTCAATGATAGGGGGCTAGATGTATTCCCAACCAATTTATGTAAATTCTAAAAAGTATTTGCTTTTCAAATTTATTGAACAACTTGAATCTGAATAACTGATACCAACTTGAATCTGAATAATAGGTATTATTATGATATAAGCTCTGTATATTATTTATATACATCAGGATAGCAAACTAATAAACATAAACTAACAGACTAACTAAAATAGTTCTGATAAAAAACCATAACTGAAACACAAACTGTTGTTATCTAATAATAATAACATCTTAACAGAACATAATGTTCATTTGTTATTAACCTATATTGCTCATGACTACTTGATCAAAATCCAATTTATTTGCTTGGTATAATAAAGATCAAGAGGTGAAACTATGTCTCAGCATCATACAACACATTCCAAAAATTAATTAATTGGACAGTAAAGAGAAGCAAAACATGATTTACGTGGTTAATTTTAAGTTTTTGGAACACTTGTAAAACAACATTTCATAGATCTTCATGCATCTTTAATTTATTTAAATTCACATAAAAAATTGTTGAACTAATAGATATGAGATTAGTAAGATATTTTATCAGATAGGAAATTTGGTTATTGACATATTGTATGAGTTATGAAAAGAAAATAAATGCATAAAGCAGATTAATATGCTTGGTGTTTTTCATTGATTTGTATTATGAAGAAATCTAAGACCCTAACCTATCAATTAAGTAGTTTTGTAAATTAAATTTTTTATTTTTTTTTGTTATTATATGATATATCATTACATTTTGCCAAATTTAGCCTAAAGTTCAATTAACACTTGAGATTGAGTCAAAAAAAATAGTTTTGAATTAAATTTTTGTGAGATTGACACGCTACCTTTTGAAAGATCATCAAATTGACTTCAACTCCTTGAAAATGGAGAACTGGGACTCATACAAATTACAGCATTTGTAGCTATGGTATTACTATTAATGGACAGATATCTAACTCTTTAAAAAGATATATTTAATAGGTACTAATTAATATTATAAGACATACTACTAATTTAAATAATATTTAGTAGGTAATTATGGTACAAACTACAGCATGTTTGAAAGATTGAGAAGCACATATCATTCAGAGGAGCCTACCTCAACTCGTCCATGCAATACAACAACAACATCAGACAAGTTATTTGCTTTCACAACTTCATTTGCCTGCATGCAAAAATAATAATAACAACTAGATGAAACCTTAAAGCTTATAGAAAGAAACAAAAGAACCAAACTCTTTGTTCTCTTATTCCCACAAGAAAAGATGAAATTCAACAGCACAAGACCAATTACTAACATGTAGACAACAGAACAAGAAATGAAAAAAAGAATACGTAGACAACCACTGAGAATAATCTTACAACTGGTATTACATAATTTTAGATGTTGAGCAAATACCAATCAAACTGCAAGTACAAATATAGGTAACAAATCATAAAATTTACAGCTATGAACAAAATTATCAAGCCATTAGGGGGCTGGGTGATGATGATAGGCCCCCAGGAAGACCAATCTTATGTTGACTCAGACAGAAAAAAATATGTTTTTCCCATCCAGAAAAGTGGAAAGGAGTGCAAGGAAATCACTTGCAATAAGATATAGTGTCCCTAAGATAACTAAACTCATTCAGTCAATTAATAATAAAAAGTTCAACACACACACATACAGAGTAACGGGAACTTCTAGGGACATTCATAAAAGAAAACTACACTATTCAAAAATGAGCTATTATAAATTTATATTTCACAACCTCAGGAATATAATGCAGGAGAAAGGGGATAAATTAAAGTTAAAAAATGGATTTCCATGTGGCTGATTGTAGATGAGTATTCTTCATGCTACTGTAAGTCATAACTATGATTCACACTACTACAGCAAGGCTATTGTACATAATATATACGGTACGAGCTACTCATGCTATATTAGCATGAATTGTACTCGTACAGACGATACAATAGCCCATATTGTAATTTGAAACAAAATGTATCCTAGCCATTAGTTCCAAGCCCAAAAACGGTCACTTATATTTGCAAAAGCTCTTTGGGCTTCAAATGTGGACAGAAAATAAGTATCAAAGACTCATTGACCCGTGGTCAGAAGTTTTACAATCTCCTCAAACCCCCCCCCCCCCCCATACGTAGAAAATACATTTTGGCACATAAACATGGGCATGTAAGTAGAAGCTCTACAGAGAAAAATAGACCAAGTGGAAGATATGCCAACCAAAGGGGGTAGAGACCACCAAGTTAGACAAGGCTTGGTTGTGGTTGCAGTCATATAATTAGTTAATTTGGCACTAGTTTTTTGAAAGGGATCAATGTTATCTGGCAGATTATGGCAGAAGCATGGCAGTCATAATAAAATATTATGTGTGTGTGTGTGTGGGTGTGTGTGAAGGAAATCTGATATAAAGAGTTTTACACAATAAATCTAAATATATATAACAATAAAAGTCAAGGAAATAAACAAGTTTAAGCCTCTAACTAAATGTTTTTAAAGTAACAAAACATTTAGACAAAGTAAATAATAAAATTAGACAAAATAAATAATAAAAAAAGAACTAAGTAGCTGGAAACTGAAACCTATAGCAAAACATAGCACTTGGCAGCTAAAAGCAAAAAAAGAAATGGACAATGAGAGCAGAGCAACTTGTCGAACAATAGCAAAACAAAGAGAAAAACACAGTACTTGGCAGAAAATGTAGAACAAGGGTCAAAGAACAGTAGTTTGCCAAAAACACTAGCAGTTAACCGGAAATTCACCAAAGAGTAGTGGGTTGATGGGTTGCACAATACTAAAGGATTAGAGAAAAGAAAGTGCAAAAATGCAGAGGCACGATCAGTTTTTTTAAACCCATTTAAAGGCCTTTTTCAGTTTCGACCCAAAATACCCCCTGATACATGGTTCTGCAGCATTAAAAATTTAGGACACGTTTTGGTTTTCAAAAAATCTCACAATAGCAGCCAAGACACATGCGAAAAGCTGTGATTTCCACTGCTACAGCATCTGCGAGGAAGAACAGAAATGCTGAGGATGACGAAGAGAGAGATCTGAGTCACATGAAAGGAAGAATAAATTTTAGGGTTGAATTTGCAGGTCACTCTGGAGCAGGTCAAGTCAGAGGTCCAACTTGTTTCTTTTCCCTAAAAAACCGTCATTTCCACCATGGCCACTGTTACTGCCATGGCCGCCAGGTGCATAATGGCCTCCATGGCGCCACCCTCATAAACCCGCCATTTTCCGCCATAGTTGTGGCAGTTTGGGCAAAAACCACCAGCATCTGCCATGGCCATTTTTTAACAACACTGTAAGGGGTACTTTTGCAAAATAATGAATTTTGCATCCTATCCATGTTATATCTTCAAGAAAACACCAGATAAGATAATATTACCCAATCAACCAGGTCATGCATAACCAATACTATTTAGAAATCAATCTAACACGGAAGTTAATCCCATAAATAGCTTAACCTATCCTACCCAGCAACCCTTCTCCTATGGTCCTATCCAATTTAATTCTATTTGGTGTGCTAATCTTAGGTTGAGTGCTTCTGAAAAACAGAATTACTTAGGCTTGTATTGCCATAGGTGTATCAACAAAATTCCAACACAATTAGGGCTATATTTCTGTAATAGTGTTGTTTATTGACACAAATAGAAAATTGAGTGCTTTTTAGTTACACACTTGCATTAAAAATAAATGAGGCCTATACTGATGAAAACTATGATCTTTGACAATTACCTGCAGGGCAATGTCACTGGCATCAATTGCATACACCTGGCAAGACAAACATTCCACAATGTCATGCATGTCAAATGTTTTAATGATGCAAAAAATCAAAGTTCAAAACAACTAGATTGAAATCCTAATTTTGAAAAGCAAAACATAAGGCTCAAAGATTACAGTACAACATAGTATTAATCCCAAAGAGAATGACTCAACAAAAGTACCCAAGATCTTCCACAGTTTAAAAATATAAAACAAAAGAAGTTGAGAAAAAAAAATAAGAAATGAAGAAATACAGGGCTTAACTTAACCCATTCATGATATAGCCAGCATCTCCAGTTTATGTAATCAAAAAAACTCAATAAAATTTCATAATAAATCATGTATAACAACAGGGAGCTTAAACAATTAAACACAGAAAAACCAGATATGGTGCGTTTGGTTCAGCTTAGATTGAAGAAATAATAGCTTATTTTTACCAGCTTCATAAGAGAGCTTTTAAAATATATGTGATTATTTCTCAAGATCTAAGCCAAATCAATCATGCTACAATCATGAAGAAAAAATTTAAAATTAATCATTTTCTTTCATTTTAAAAACATCCAAGAACAAAATAACATTGCATGTAAGTTGAAAACTGAAAAAAGGATTTTATGGAAATAAAACAGTTTAGCTTTTGTTTTAAAATATATTTATTATTAAAGCATATAATAACAATCTTTCTTATTAACTAAAGGATACATCAATGTATTTCGAAAGAGCTAACCCGTTTTGCACCAGCCTGAGCACAAAATATAGAAAGGATTCCTGTACCGCATCCAACATCAACCACAACCTGAAGACAGATAATACTTAGGAGAAAAAAAGAGGGAAAAATAGGGGACAGGAAATACAGGAAAAGCCATAAAAAACTTCAATTGGAAACAACTTAATATAACAAGGATTATGCATGAGCATCAATGATTTGATCTTGATCCAAGATGTGGTATATGTACATGTAAAATAAGTATCTTCCATTCATTAACTGAAGAATAACATAACCCCCAACTAGAAGCCCTCCACATGATTTCAGTCCGTCACCTAGTGACCTAGGTCAGTTGAACAAAGTCCTCTCTCTTGGCCAAAAGAGATAACATTTAAGTATGACATAGATGTATCAGATTTGCAATTATAATGATTATTGATCAATCATATTACAAGGATTAATGAATAAAAAGGTAAGGCCAGTGGGAGTAAGAGTCATGTGGGCACAAGGAGGGAAATATGGGGGGGGGGACAGTTTGGGAGAGCGTATGTAGAAACAGATTCTGTTAGTAAAATAGAATAAAAAAGAGAGGAAAGAGTGGGGGTAAGCAAGGTTTGAGCAACGATATATAGGAAGCAGGCCCTTGACATGTCTGCAGTATCACCAGCCTTCTTTTTGTTTTTTTTATTGGCGAGTGTGAGAGCTTTCCACTTATCTATGGGCAAAGCTTGATTTGCTATTGGTACCATCTTACTATCGATAGCAAAAGGTGGTTCCAGTGATAATATTGAATAACATTACTAATCTGTTCCCAGTTTCCTATCAGTAGAATTTTCAGTTCAAGAGATTGGTCAAGTTGGCCAACAGACTAATTATTAAATACTCCAAATATGTTTATGTTAAACCACTAATTCTCTCCCTCAATGTTGCAATAGTCATTTATAACAGAGGCTGAAGTCCGGTTTCGACTTAGGTTTTGCATTTCTTGTAAGTATCATAATAGGATTAGGGTTTTATTTGTATCAGCTACAGGGGTTCAGTCACACAAGTTCAGAGTTTTTTTTATTACTAGTTCTAGAGAGGATTCTGTTACTGGATCAAAGTTAATTGAGGATTACTACTTTTGGGGCTATAATAGCCTGTCCTCTTTGAAGTCTGAGACGGTAAATATGTTGCATTAATTGATAAAGTAGATTTCCAGAGAGTTTTTCCAAAAAAAAATAAAATTATTCCTCTTACATCAAAATATTCTAGAAAATATATATATATACATTTCAAACATGATAAATAAAATTCACATTCGAATGTAGCCAAATCATGGTGAGCATTTGCAGAGTAAATAAAACTATAAACCAAAAAAAAAAAAAAAAAAACCAGCATGCACCGCTAGCAGCTTCTGGCATAATGAAAAAAGAAAAAGTTTAGAAAACGAGTTAAAACGGAATATCTTAGGTTGACAAATAACCTTTCCAGCAATAAAACTGTGATGCTGCATAATTGCTTCTCTATAAGTTTCAGTCCGCACACGATCCTGCACCAAAGCAGGTAGGTTAGAGAGGTGACAAAAGGAAATGAGAAACATTGGAAGAAAAGAAGAGAAGAAACCTTTATCATCTCTTGGTGGATACCAAGGTGAGCGTAGGAATGGAAATAGGCCATGTCGAAGTCAGTGCAAGGAGGTGGATGGTGCTGTTGTTGTTGATCACAAACCCTAAGGTGATTGTGTGTGGAAGCGGAGGCACGTGACCGGCGAGTGGCACGACGGGCTCGCTCTCTGTGACTGTGACCCATTCCCTGTGGCTGCTGCTGATAGCCGTTACTCTCATTCTCCCTCGGAAACATCTTCCTTCCTCTCACCCTTCTCCCCTCAACTACATACTCATATCATTATTTCAATTTATATTACACTTTTCTTCTTTTTTTCTTCAAATCTTAGTCTTAATTCTCATTCCCTTTTTTTTTCACTTATAATAATTCTCATTCTAATTTACCTCTTTTTTTTGTTCCGCCCAGTGGATATGGACCATTTTGTGTATTCAAATTTCAAGCCCCCTTTGGATTGGGTTTAATACTCTTTACTTCTAACAGCCCTCCTTCCGAACATCATTAATGCTATTTATGTGTTATTTTTATTGTTATATTATTTATTTTTTAAGTAAGTATAAATATAAGAAAAATAAACAAGAAATTTGATATTTTTATTTGTAAAAAATAAATATAATTTTAAAATGGTATATAAAATTACGGTGAGAAAATTCGAAGTAAAACAAATGGTTATATCCAAATTTAAGCACTAAAATCAAAACACCATATATATTCTGGCTTTGAAAAGAATTAATATGGGATGAGTTCTTTTCATGCAGAAATTAATAATAATAATAATAATAATTAATTTTTATATTATAAATAAGAAAATTTTATCTAAAAGTGAGACATTTAATAGAATTATTTTTTTACAATCAATCACGAATATTTTTTAATTAAAATTGATTAAGAATAATATGTGAATTGCAATCTCTTATAGTGCAATTAATTTTTTTCTACTTTTTTTTTAATTTTATTATAAATTTTGGGTATAAAATTTTTTATTTAATTTTATGTATTATTTTTTTTATGAATACTCATGTTTATATTCATTTAAAAAATTATTGCTTTATATTTCGTAGTTATAAAATCAAGTTAAAATATTTTTAAAAAAATTATTTTTAAAAATTATTTTATTATATATATAATTATTTTCAAAAATTGATAGCACTTTATTTTAAATATATATATATAGTACATATGGATTAACTAGTAATAATAATAATGAAACAGTCACTTTTTATGGTTTAATGAGTCTTCAAGAGACATTCATAAAGTTCACACAGTTGCACCCACTTTGGTGATGTAGTCAATGCAAAATATTTACCTTCGAGTGCATTGAATACCCCTTTAAGGAGAATAATTATATCATTTCAGTACAAACTTTAAATTGTATAGAGGATGATTAAAAAGTTTTGGCCAAGCTAATCCAAAACATTAAGTAAAAAGTTATAAGAATGTTTTGAAAAAAAGATAATTAAAGAATGGTGTAAGTAAAAAACGAGAGTAAAAACTGAAAGGATGAAATTTGAGTGTTTCAATTATACAACATAGAATAATATTTACATAATAATATAATTAGCATATTTATTATTATTATTTTTCTAACACTCTCCTTTAAATTGAAATAAGTATATTAATTACATGTAAATTATCCTGTGACCCTTCGACAACTTAATAAAACATCTACCAATTTATTGGACTTAACATGGTGATGGGAATGGGAAGTCTCTAGCTAAAATATTCTCCCCAATAAAATTATAATATATGTCAATGTAATTAGTATTTCATTAATAGATAGGCACATGAAGAGAGGTTCGGAGTGGAAGAGGAGTTAGAACCTAGATGGAATTTTATTTAGAATTCATTGATTTTAATAGCATTTTAAAAAATATTAACAACTATTTCAATTTTTTTATCAAATAGGATATTTTTAAAAATAAATTTTTCATCATGGTAAAACAACTTTTTAAATTATCTAAAAACCCTTATCAAACACATTTTATACTTTTATGAAGAAAAAATTGATTCAATAATTATGTAATTTAATATTTTTTAATTTTTAAGATATCATTAAAAAATATTCAGAGCATATGTTTGTTTTTTTAAATAGTTTTCTGTTTTGATTTTTAATTTTTAAAAATAATATTTTAAACAATTTAAAAAATTGTTTTTAAAAGAAAATAAAAATTTTATGTTACCAAAAAAAAAATTATTTTATTTTATTTTTCAAAAGAAAAATTTATTTTTTAAAATAGTTAACAAACAAGCTCTTATACATTACAGATTTAAGAAATTGCACTTGAAAAGAAAATATACTCAAAATTACATTAATTAGAAAAATTATATGGACTAAAATTAAAATACAACGAATCACAATTAAAAAATATGAAGTGTAATAATAGTAATATGACATAAAATATAGTAGAAGGTTAAAAAAAAAGCTACATACTTAGGCTAAAATGTTTTAAAATAACTGTGCAAAAATCTAAAATGATAAAGACAAAATGATGGAAAAATATACTGAGTGATGACTAAATCATTTGTTTCAATCTTTCGAAGGCTTACCTGTACATATTATTATTGAATAGAAAAAAAAAAGTCACCCTAATGTGTGTATTTGACACAAATCAAGCTAATTAGCTTATGGAAAAAATATATATTACAAAGTTATGAGAATAATAAATATATGAGATATAAGAAAATATGTAAACAGATTGTAGGATTAAATACTTAATAAATTACAAGAAACATATTTTAGTATTTTTTATAAAGTATATTTTTTAAAAAAAAACTATAATTATTTTAAAGAAATATATAATTTTAAAAATTTGTAAAAAAATATTTTAATTATTTTATAAAATATATTTAATTTTTTATTCTAATTATGATAATGGCTAATACGAGCTAACATGTCACATATGACTCATCCATGAGTTAACAAAATAACTTATTATAGTAGAGTGTGAAATTATTTTTATATTTCTAATCGTTACAAAATAAGAATACTAGGATTATTAAATATTTAGAATAGTTTCTTTAAAACCTAATTGTCTATAATTTATGAACGGGTACTTTTTGATGGGTACAATTTTCTTGTTTCCTCTTCACACCATATTTTCTTTCTCTTAAACTCATTGTCTTGTTTGTAGGTATCTTTCTCTCACTAAACCCTAATTCTTTGAGAAATACAACATTATATTCTCATTAATACTAATTATATCATAACTTTTTCCTTTCTTTTTACGGTAAAAGACCTTTAAATTAGCATGCTTAACACAATAAGCTCTAAGATTAAACCTAGTCTTATTTAATCACTACCATTGTAAAAAAAATATCTTTGCCACCTTACACTTGGTGTGAAGTAACTTATTGCACATATTATAGTTGATGTTTCTAACTAAAGCTAATTAGATTTGAAGAAATCATAGAGATATACATACTTTAATTCTCTTTCTTTGCATTATTATTAATTACATCCCTTTTATAATAATCACAAAGACTGTTGTAGGGATGTTTTTAACAAACTAAACTATGTTTCTTATGGAGTGAAGGTTTTGTATCAAAGCAATGTGCCTAAACAAATCCAATAAATCTTATTAATGGATTGATCCTTTTCTTTCTTTCATAAATCCATTAAATGAAAATATAGTAACATCCTCATGTAGGTATGATTTAAAAATATATAAATATAGAAAATTTTAGAATCCTAAGGTAAAAGACATGATATATGAGCTATGATCTCCTAAAATTATTGTAGCGAGTGTTAGAGCTTACAAGCATTGATATTTAAGTGGATCTATGATAAAATATCCTAACCAACTATACATTGAGTTGTTGATGGCCTTTAGACGTTGGCGCTTAGATTTGGATGAAAAATAATTGTTGCAACTAAAAGGAGTTACTAATAATGCTTGAGAATATTTATTGAAAATAAAAATAAAGGTTTATTTTTTTTATGCGTATATATATTTTCTGAATTATTCCTTATAAATATGTTCAAAAAGAAATATCATATATTTTTTTGGGGTTCTACAATACAATGTGCTTTCTTAACATGTCTTGTAGATGAGAAGAGGTTTATTTTACATAAGTTTATTAAAGAATTATATGATTTTTATTTTTAATTGATATTTTTTACCATTGTTAACTTATAACAAAAAATATTATAAAGATGTTATTAATGCTAATTTTTAGTGACTAAATTGGCTATTGTTGAAGAGTTAGGTAAATAAATATGTTGAGCTTAAAAAAGAGTTAACAAATAATTAATTACTATGTATAGAATAATATAATTATAGTCTATGTTAATGTGTTGCATGTTTTTTGTTATTAAAGTATTTTATAATAAGCTAACATTAAAATTTTTGGATGAGATCTTGTTTTTACTATGTTCTACATGTTTATTCCTAAGGATTTGTGCAAGACAATAAGAATGAGTAACTATGTCCATTTATGTTTGGAGTTTGTTGACTTGACAATAATTAATTTAAAATAATTTCAAGAAATTGATATTGTTGTTATAAATTTAATATCTTGATGAAATATTTTTTTACGACTTGGAATTAGGTAATGAAGTATAAAAAGTGTCCAAAAGTCAGTAATATATGACTAAAATATATGGAGAATAACATGAGCAATGAAATAGCAAGTAACTTATTTTTCAAAATAACTGATCAACAAATATATCATTAAAGTCACTTAAATAGTAGTACAATCTTTTATTATAAGTTTAAATTCTTTTATAATGTGTTGTTTGCTTTTTGTTTAAGGGACTAAAGGAAATTTTATTAGATTTGAAAGATGAAGGTGATTCTAATTTTTGAAGATGAGAATGAAGCTGAAGTTGAGGAAGAAGGTATGAAAGACTAAATGTTTATATATTGATGACAAAATGGAACAAGGAGATGACAATGATATGGTAATTAATGTTGATAGTTTGGAAGACATTCTTGATATGGATCTTTAAAACTTTAGCCCTCATCAAATAAGAAATGTCCATTTCATAAGTTTGAAAGTGGCGTACTTATTTTATACAAGGTATGAAAGACTAAATGATTTTACTACTTGGAAAAACATAATCCTTTGTGTAACACCCCAAATTTTGTAATATTAATTATTGTTATTTATATAAATCTAAATGCATATATATATATATATATATATATGTGTGTGTGTGTGTGTGTGTGTGTGTGTGTACAAGTGTAAATGAATGTTGTGAATTCGCATTGAATGCGTAATGATGGTGTTCTTCTGTGTAATAAATATGACTATGTATATATATGTATGTATGTGTAGATGTATGATTGATGGAATTGGACTAGTTGGGCTGAAAATGGGCTAAGTGCTTAAGTGTAGGGTGTAATTCTGGGCTGTCCTTACTGCAACGAAAGGATTCTCGCTGTAGAGATAGGGCCTTGGGAGGAAGGACCAAAACTGTCGCCTTCTCACTGTAGCGAAAGACGTGTTGCTGTAGCGACAGAGTGACAATTTGGGGTGCATTTCTGGGTGCAGTCTCACTATAGCGAGATTCTGCAGAAACCAAAGTGTAGTTTCATCTAAGATTTTTACTGCAGCGTGAGGGCCTCTCACTGCAGCGAGAATATCACGCTAGAGCGAGAGTGTCGCGACTAGAAGGGATTTAAAGGGGTTAGGGTTTGGGGAAATTTTATTTCTCCCTTCTCCTTCAAAATTCCTCTGATCCCTTCACTCCCGAACCTTATTCTACCGATTACATTGCCTTCAAAGCCGTTCAGGAGCTTGATTGAAGGTTAAATCCGTGTGGAGAATGTATGGAGGTGAGTTTTAATGATTAGGGTTTCTGTTTTCATTCTCTTTCTCTGTTTTTACGGTTTTCTCTGGAGTTTCTCCATGTGTTTAAGATGAAATCTGTGAGAGGGAGCACTTCTTAGTGGATTTAGCGTGTGGGTCTTCGATCCGAGGTAAGGGGGACTCTACCCTACTCTTTTTATGTGTAATTGATTGAATATGGAGTTGTGGCTGAGTTAGAATGGTAGAAAATGTGCAGAGAATGAGTTGATTGAGAAATGTAATGTGGGTCATGTGCATTGATATGTGAACATTGTGTGTGTTAACCGAAATGGATGAATGTGAATTGTACGCTAGATGTTGCATGATAGAATGAATATTGTGAACAAATGTGGGCCCGAGGGCCGTGTAATATAGATGAATATTGGGCATGTACCGTGTAATGTGAAATGAATGTGGGCCTAGTGCCATGTATTTGAATGCAAAGTGGGTTGTGCCGTGTGCAAGCATGAACATTGCATGTGTGAATGAAATATATGTAAATGGGGCGTGTAGCGCCATTATAATGTGCTGTGAATGGTTCAGCGATACACTGGTGTGAAAGATGGAGACAGTAGAAATACCTTGGGAATGAGAGAGTAGTGGTGACACCAACTGCGGAACGGGTGCACCATGGGCCACACACTCTCTTCCTAACTAGACCTTTAACCATTACCTTTGCTGAGCGACCCGTGACTGCCCACGTGGTATCCGTGAGGCGGGGGTAACCGACGACCATTCATAGTGAAAATCTGTGATCACAGTGCCACAGTGAGGGTGGCTGGTTTGCATATGCACGAGTTTGTGTATTGTAATTATGAATATGAAATGTTGTCGATGCCATGAGTGCATCGATGTTAAATTGACATGAACTATGTGATAATGCTGCCTGTAATTGTATTTGTTTAATATATTGAAAATGTGTTGAAGGTGAGACTCTATGTTGACTGTGTGTTTTTGGGTAGTATAGAGTACTCACCCTTACATTCATTTTTCAGATAATCAAGACGATCAATACCGGACTTAGTGAAAGGGTGGATGGAACTGCTATAGGACATAGGATATTATTTTGAAAACTGTTGTATTTGAGTAAGTCATGTAGCAACTGTTTGATGTAGTTTGTAACCCCTTTCTTTATTTGAAATGTTTGTTGAAACTTGGATTAAAAAAAATGGAAGTTTTATTATTTCAAAAATTTGCAAAATTTCTTATTTATTGAAATTAAATTTAAGGCGTTAAAATTTTGGTATCATAGCAGTTATCCAAACTGAATTGGAGTATCAAGCTGAAGTGTCCAAGATAAGTATTGATTGTTTTGTTTGCCTGAATTATAAATATATTATTAATTTGATGTGCTGGACTGTACCTGTTAAATTGTGTAGCTAGATTGAATATGTCTGGTAGAGGTAGAGGAACTAGAGGCACCAATGACCTCATGGAACGCATGGCTCAGATTTTGGAAGCTATGGTGCACAATCAAGGCAGAGAGCTGGCTGAGTATCGAGGGTTATATGCCTTCACCAGGCATGATTCTCCAAGGTTTGAGGGTGGATTCAATCCCGAAGGAGCCCAAAAGTGGGTGGCTGATGTGGAGAAGATCTTCAATGTAATGGGGTGTCATGAGGAGAACAAGGTTGCTTATGCCACCTACTTGCTATGTGGAGAGGTTGAGGACTGGTGGAGGTTTGTCGGTCAGACCCTGCCATAGGAAGGAAGCATTCAAGACCATCTTCCTAGGGAACTACTTTTCCCGGGACCTAAGGAACCAGAAAGCTAGGGAGTTTCTTGAACTGAAGCAAGGAAGTATGATTGTGGAGGAATATGCAGCTAAGTTCCAGGAGCTGATGAAGTATTGGCCTCATTATCAGCTTGGTGATGGAGAGGAGGATCTGTGTGCTCAATTTGAGCATGGATTGAGGCCCAACATCCGAGCTGCAGTCAGTGTGTTTCAGCTGACAGATTTGCCCACCCTAATAAGCAAGAGCAGAATTTTTTAAGTTAACTCAAGAGAAAAGACGGTGGACACTAAGAGAGCCAGCCCAGTGAGGTAAGATAGAAGACCCCCTAGATTCTCAAGGGGACCGTACTCGGGATCAAATAGCTCTCAGTCTTGAGGGAGTTCATCTTAAGAGAAGAGTAATGGGAGTGGTTTAGGATCAAGTTCTTTCAGAGGGCCGCTTAAATGTTTCAGGTGTGGAGGGCCACACATGGTGAAGGACTGCCCACAGCAGAGGATAACTTGCAACAACTGTGGGAAGTCGAGACACATTGCCAATGAGTGTTGTGCCGCTAAGAGAAGCGGTAGTGCAAGTGCAGCTCAGAGGCTAGAATCAAGAGGAAGTATAGGGTCGGGGCCAAGTATGGGGCAAAAGCCAAGCATCCCTGAGAGAGTCTTTACTATGAGTGGGGCAAAGGCTTCACAGTCAGAGGAGCTGATCCGAGGTAAATACATTATTAAGAGTCGATTGCTTGATGTGCTGTTTGATTCGGGTGCTACACACTCCTTTATATTTGTGAATTGTATGAAGAGTCTGAATTTGTATGTGCCAGAATTGCCGTGTAATGTTGTGGTAACTACCCCTACGGGTAAGCCGGTTGTGACGTCATGGGTGTGTTTAGGGTGTGCAATGATGGTACACGGTAGGGAGTTTGAGGTGGACTTAATTTTTTTACCTCTTTCTCAACTGGATGTAATCCTTGGAATGAATTGGCTTGTTGCTAACCATGTGCTACTGGACTGTAGGGAGAAGACTTTCATCTTCGGTGTGACAATTGTAGAGGTTTCAAGGCTTATGAGCCAGAGAGCGTGGGAGAACACGGTAAACACTAAGGCTTTCATGGTTATGTTCTCAATGGAAACCGAAAGTGTAGTGGAGCCGGAGTATATTCCAGTGGTGAGGGATTTCTTGGAGGTTTTTTCTGAAGATGTTTCTGAGCTACCACCTGAGAAGGAAATAGAGTTTGCTATTGACCTCATTTTGAGGACAAGTCCGATTTCTGTGGCACCTTACAGGATGTTACCAGTGGAGTTGGCAGAGGTCAAGAAACAGGTGGAAGATTTGTTACAGAAATAGTTTATGAGACCGAGTGTGTCACCGTGGGGAACACCAGTGCTCTTGGTGAAAAAGAAAGATGGAAGCATGAGGATGTGTGTAGATTATCGGCAGTTGAACAAGGTAACAGTCAAGAACAAGTATTCACTTTCCAGGATCGATGATTTGATGGACCAATTAAGGGGAACAGCAATGTTTTCGAAGATTGATTTGAGATTAGGATACCATCAAATCTGAGTGAAGGATGCAGATGTACCTAAGATGGCGTTTAGGACGCAGTATGGTCACTATGAGTATTTGGTGATGCCGTTTGGGGTGACCAATGCGCCTGCAGTGTTCATGGACTACATGAATAGGATCTTCCACGAGTTTTTGGATAAGTTTGTAGTGGTGTTCATTGACGACATCATAATTTATTCAAAGACTCAAGAAGAGCACGCCTAGCACTTGAAGATTGTCTTGCAAATTCTGAAGGAGAGACAATATTATGTGAAATTCTCCAAGTGTGAGTTCTGGTTGTCGGAAATCCAATTTCTAGGACATGTAGTGTCGAAGGAAGGAATCATGGTAGACCCTGCAAAAGTGGAAACAGTGGCTGAGTGGCCGAGGCCGACGAATGTGACAGAAGTGACAGTTTCCTCAAATTAGCAGGCTATTATAGGAAATTCATTAAAGGATTCTCTAAGATAGTGTTGCCCTTAACAAAGCTGACCCGCAAGGAAAAGGAGTTCAAGTGGACCAAGGGGTGTGAAGCTAATTTCTTAGAACTGAAGATAAGGCTAACTTCGGCGCCAACCCGGAGCGAAAGTTTGATGAGTATTGTGATGCATCCGGGCAAGGACTTGATTGTGTTTTGATGCAAGACGGGCGAGTGGTTGCCTATGTCTCAAGGCAGTTGCGCTCGCATGAAGTCAACTATCTGACACACGATCTGGAGTTAGCTGCGGTGGTTTTTGCCCTTAAGGTATGGAGGCATTACATATATGGGGCAAGGTTCGAGGTGTTCAGTGACCACAAGAGCTTGAAATATCTGTTTGACCAAAGGGAGCTGAACATGCGGCAGAGGAGATGGATGGAGTTCATCAAGGACTATGATTTTACATTGTCTTACCACCCTAGCAAGGCAAATGTGATAGCCGATGTGTTGAGTCAGAAATCATTGCTCGTGGCAGCAATGTTGGTGAAAGAAATAAAGTTAATTGAGGAATTTCGTGACATGAATTTGGCCATGGAGATAAGGCCAGGGAGTTTGTATCTCAGAGCAACGACTTTTTGGTGTACGTCCGAGATGCTCAGCAGGAAGATGCCTTCCTGCAAGACATAATGAGACAGAAGGATAAGGGAAAGGACTTGAAATTCTATTGTGATAAGAATGGGGTGATTAGGTTCCGGAATCGAGTGTGCATTGCTCAAATGCATAAGCTGAGACAGATGGTGCTTGAGGAAGCACATAAAAGCAGGATGAGTTTCCACCCCGGTGCAACTAAAATGTATCAGAACCTCCAAAAGAGTTTTTGGTGGAATGGTATGAAGAGAGACATGGCTGAATATGTGGCTAAATGCCTGACTTGCCAGAAGGCGAAGGTAGAGCACCAGCGTCCACCAGGGTTGTTACAGTGGTTGAAGATCCCTGAGTGGAAATGGGATAGTATTTCCATGGACTTTGTTTATAGGCTGCCTAAGACTAGGAACAATATTAATGCTATCTGGGTGATAGTGGACCGGTTAACTAAGGCTGCATACTTTCTCCTGATCAACATAAAGTATAAATTGGAAAGACTTGCAGAATTGTATGTGAGGGAGATAGTCAGGATGCATGGAGTGCCGACTAGTGTGGTATCAGATAGAGATCCGAGATTTACCTCAAGGTTTTAGGAGAGCCTGCAACGGGCATTGGGGACTAAGTTGAGACTGAGCTTGGCTTATCACCCATAAACTGACGATCGGACTAAGCGGACCATCCAATCTCTGGAGGATTTTTTAAGGGCTTGTGTGCTCGAGCAGCAGGGGACTTGGGAAAAGTGCTTACCGCTAGTGGAATTCACGTACAACAATAGTTACCATGCCAATATTGGAATGGCACCGTTTGAGGCCTTGTATGGGTGGAGGTGCAGAACTCCGTTGTGTTGGTATGAAACTGGATGGCAACTTTGTTTGCGCCAGATATGATCCAAAGGCAGAATGAGCAAATCAGAATGATCAGACATAAAAAAAAGACTGCGCAAAATAGGCAAAAGAGCTATTATGATAGAAGGCGGAAGCCATTGGAGTTTCAGGTGGGTGACCACGTATTTTTGAAGGTCTCACCTGTAATCGGAGTGGGGATAGTTCTAAAGTCTCGGAAGTTGTCTCCAAAGTTTATTCGGCCGTTCGAAGTGCTGAGTAGAATTGGTCCTGCTACATATCGGATTGCGTTGCCTTCGAACCTCTCGAATCTATATCCGATGTTCCATGTGTCACAGCTTAGGCAATATGTGCCGGATTCTTTCCATGTGATTGATCTTGACCCGATTCAAGTAAGAGAAGACTTGTTGTATGATGTGTACCCGGTGAGGATTGCGGATCACCGTGTTAAGCAAGGACATCTCATTAGTGAAGGTAATATGGAGCTCGAGTGATAAGGAAGATGCCACATGGGAAACAGAGAGTAGAATGAGAGAGTTGTACCCGAGATTATTTTTGTAGAATGTGTGTTTAGTTGAATTTTGGGGACAAAATTCCTTAAAGGAGGGGAGAGTTGTAACGCGCCGAATTTTGTAATATTAATTATTGTTATTTATATAAATCTAAATGCATATATATATATATATATATGTGTGTGTGTGTGTGTGTGTGTGTGTGTGTATACAAGTGTAAATGAATGTTGTGAATTTGCACTGAATGCGTAATGATGGTGTTCTTCTATGTAATGAATATGAATATGTATATATATGCATGTATGTGTAGATGTATGATTGATGAGATTGCACTAGTTGGGCTGAAAATGGGCTAAGTGCCTAAGTGCATGGTGTAATTATGAGTTGTCCTTGCTGCAGCGAGAGGATTCTTGCTGTAGCGAGAGGGCCTTGGGAGGAAGGACCAAAACTATCACCTTCTCACTGTAGCGAGAGACGTATCGCTGTAGTGACAGTTTGCGGTGCATTTATGGGTGCAATCTCACTGTAGCGAGATTCTGCATAAATCAAAATGCAATTTCATCTAAGATTTTTGCTGCAGCGTGAGGGCCCTTCACTGCAGTGAGAATATCTCGCTGGAACGAGAGTGTCGCGACTAGAAGGGATTTAAAGGGGTTAAGGTTCGGGGAAATTTTATTTCTCCCTTCTCCTTCGAAATTCCTCTGATCCCTTCACTCCCAAACCTTATTCTACTGATTACATTGCCTTCAAAGTCGTTCGGGAGCTTGATTGAAGGTTAAATCCGTGTGGGGAACGCTTGGAGGTGAGTTTTAATGATTAGGGTTTCCGTTTTCATTCTCTTTCTCTATTTTTTGTGGTTTCCCCTGGGGTCTCATGAAGTTTCTCCATGTGTTTAGGATGAAATCTGTGAAGGGGAGCACTTCTTAGTGGATTTAGCGTATGGGTCTTCAATCCGAGGTAAAGGGCACTCTACCCTACTCTTTTTATGTGTAATTGATTGAATATGGAGTTGTGGTTGAGTTAGAATGGTAGAAAATGTGCAGAGAATGAGTTAATTGAGAAATGTAATGTGGGCCATGTGCATTGATATGTGAACATTGTGTGTGTTAATCGAAATGGATGAATGTGAATTGTACGCTAGATGTTGCATGATAGAATGAATATTGTGAACAAATGTGGGCCTGAGGGCCGTGTAATATAGATGAATATTATCCATGTGCCATGTAATGTGAAATGAATGTGGGCTTAGTGCCATGTATTTGAATGCAAAGTGGGTTGTGTGCCGTGTGCAAGCATGAATATTGCGTGTGTGAATGAAATGTATGTAAATGAGGCGTGTAGTATCGTTATAATGTGCTGTGAATGGTTCAGCGATACACTGGAGGTGTGAAAGATGAGGACGGTAGAAATACCTTAGGAAGGAGAGAGTGGTGGTGATACCGACTGCGGAACGGGTGCATCATGGGCCACACACTCTTTTCCTAGCTAGACCTCTAACCATTACCTTTGTTGAGCGACCCGTGACTGCCCACGTGGTATCCGTGAAGTGAGGGTAACCGGCGACCATCCATAGTGAAAATATGTGATCACACTGCCATAGTGAGGGTGGCTGGTGTGCGTATGCACGAGTTTGTGTATTGTACTTACGGATTTTAATATTGTCGATGCCATGAGTGCATCGTTGTTAAATTGACATGAATTGTGTGATAATGCTTTCTGTAATTGTATTTGTTTAATGTATTGAAAATGTGCTGGAGGTGAGACTCTATGTTGACTGTGTGTTTTTAGGTAGTGTAGAGTACTCACCCTTACATTCATTTTTCGGGTAATCAAGACGATCAGCACCGGACTCAGTGAAGGGATGGATGAAATTGCTATAGGACTTAGGATATTATTTTGAAAACTGTTGTATTTGAATAAGTTCTGTAACAATTGTTTGATGTAGTTTGTAACACCTTTCTTTATTTAAAATTTTTGTTGAAACTTGATTAAAAAAAATGGAAGTTTTATTATTTCAAAAATTTGCAAAATTTCTTATTTATTGAAATTAAATTTAAGGCGTTACACTTTGGAACATAAGAAGTATATGAAAACATATGATTTTGTCAAAAAGATATATATAATCATATTGGAAGGCAAAGAAAAGAGCAAGAATCATATTTATATTATATACGTGCTTTACAATACTTTAAAGAGTTGATAATTGATCCACTAATATCTTGTCGTCACATTATAGGTCAGGAAGGTAAATTGAAACATATATTTTGGGGTGATGACTTTAGTTGGATGAATTATAAAAAGATGTGGCATTTGATAAAACTACTAAAGAATAAGTATTGTTGTCTAATTGTGGTATTTTCATGTGTAAATAATCACAACCAAATTATAATGTTTGTTGTTGCAATTATATGAGATGAAACTGAAAAAACATATGTGTAGCTATTAGAATAATTCATGGAAGTAATGAAAGATTAGACACTTATATAAGTTATAACCAATGGTGATGTGATAATGAGTAAGATAAATAAGGTATGGTCAAATGTGCATCATAATTTAATAAATGCACATTGTTTGATTTTGATGTGGGCAAGTTTCAACATAAATGAAGGGAAATTGTAGATAAGTTCGATTTGCAAAAAAATGATTAAGTTATAGAGATCTATCAAAAGAGGAAGACATGGACCATATGTTATATACATGGTAATTTTTTTCTTCTCTTAGGATGACATCCTAACATGTAATTTAACAAAAATTTCACAATTTTACATGTTCTTGAATTGCATTTGATATAAAGAACTTAAGGTTGACTTTTTATCCATGCATGATGACTTAGTATTACAAATAAATTATCAAAGTATTGAAAGGACAGTTGCAAAGGTATATACATGGAATTTTTGTGTTGATTCATGTTGATTGTTAAGTCATCCATGATGATTGTGGTTCGATGTAAAGAGTAATGTACACAATATTTATGCAATTTCAAAATATTGTGTTGAAATCCTTTAGCCTTTTATGTGACCATATTCTTGTGGTACTCATTTTTCTTAATATTGTAGAAATGACTAAATGTCTAATATTGGATAGATAGATAAAGAATGCAAATGGTTCAATTCAAGGTGTTTTGAATAATGGATCAAATTATTGGGATTAACATTCTATAAGTAGACTTGTTGTATTGATGCATCAATATAAGGAGTTGACTATATTTTCTTGTCAAAGTTCATATGATTTTGACATTGAGAGAGATAGAGTCACTGAAGTGTGTTTGAGGTTCTCAAGTCAAAGAATGTTTCTTTAGGTAAAAATGATAGATTTAAATGTGACGTTGGACATAATGGATTGAGAGATCCAGCTACTGTTAGGAGGAAATGTGATAATTGGTCCTTATTATATATGGCAAAGAAGTCAAAAGATTTAAGAAATTGTTTAGGATATAAACTTAATAGTTATAGAAAGATTACATGTCAAAATACTTACGTTATTTTAAAAAATAACACAATTTGTATTTGAATCATCTCTATCATTAAAAAAATGACATGTCTCTTGAAAAGAAGAATTAAAATGTTAATTATGTAAGTATTTTTTAATTAATTTAAGATATAATTAGTGTGTTGTGATATTCTCATAATGGATTTGTTATATATAATAATAATAATTTATGACAATTTATAAAGTAATCATTACGGTGTTTATGCTTGGTAATCAATACTATGCCTGTAAGATAAGATTTTATTGGAATATATACTAATTTTTTTAATATTAAAGACTTATTGCAATGTTTGATATCCAATTTACAAATAATTTTTTAAAATCAAATTGTTATTTCTTGTTAAATGAATAATATTTTGGCTTATTTCCATGACACTTGTTCTTAATTTAGGTACCAACACCTGGGACAAATTTGAACTACATGTGCACAAGAGACTTAGGCAGTTTTTGAAATGTAGTCAAGCAAGCATATTACCTTATTCATGATTGAGTATTCATGGTTCTTGGAGTGGAAAATGGTGGAGGTGGGGCTCGAGAATAAGGTTGCACGTGCTCTAAACGGTTAACACAGTAGTTTATGATTCACTATTGAAAAATTTCTCTTCATGATTCTAATATTGTGACACTTCTTCCTTTACCTCATACTACATCCTACAACAAGGTCAAAATCCACCCTCCATCTCCATGCCACTGTCATTTGCTTTGGAGCATAGCTTTTGCTTCTCTCACTGTCAGAAGTTAAATAAAGACTATAACAAGCTTGAGCCATTAATTACGGAACATTTTTCTCAAATTGCACACTAGCCATCATCAGCAGGCATCTATTTTATCTTATGAACAAGAGGCCTCAAGAATGTTAGTGCCTTTTTATTCCCTTCCCTTTTCATTTTATTTAACTTTAATTTTATTTTGTTTTTATTTTTATTCTTTTCATAATTAAAGGCAATAAAATAACAAAAAACTAGACTGAATAGGATAATTTGAACCAATCAAGTATTTGAGCTGACTAATTTGAGTTTTAATTGTTTTGAGGAATCAATAGAAACAAAAGTCAAAGAGTCTAAAATTGTTCCACTAATTCACATTTTCCATGCATTTTCAGGGGGATTCATTAAGACTTTACAAAAAAATTGACCAACAAATATTATGTTAGCTCTAGATTAGCTTGTCAGTATTTTGGGTCATTCTATTATAAATATTAATGATAACAGTAGAGGTTCTTAAAAGAAAAACACTTAGCCTTCATCCGCGTATATTTTTTTACTACTAATACTATTATTATTTCTATTAAGTGATTTCAACACAAATAATTTACGTAGAAATCAATTTTCATAAAATGGGTTATATCATCATCTTTAAACTTTAAATTCATCAATTGTATACACTAAACATACTTTCCCTACCACATAATTTATGTTAAAATTAATGTGTAAATTTTTTTTAATACTTTTATAATAAAACAAAACAAACAAGTTTTTTTAAATATTTTAATG